TCGCCGTGCTCTGCCGAGCTGCCAAACAGCCGATGCTGAAACCTGGAATACCAAGGGGGGAAGGGTGATTCACATCCAAATAGAAAATACCCGTCATCAGGGTGACTTTCCCCCACCCACCCTTTTTTTTTTTTAGCTGAGCATTTCTCCATCTGTTGTTTATAACAATGTGCTGTAAAAACTATAATCCAATGAGAATGATTGATTAAGCAGAAACTAGTTTCAGATCTTCAGCCTTACTTTTTTTTTCTTCTTTCTTTTAACTTGGAATGCACAAGAAATACCTTTATGATGAGGCTGTTTCTTTTGGGATGTTTGGAAAAAAAGTTCTTTATTTTCTTTTGTCAATAGCCAACATCTCCATCCTTTGTCACTGGCGGGAACAGGCAGCCACAGTATAGACACCTTTTTAGGAAGATATTATCAAATTCCTTCCTTTCAGCTAAACTGTAGCTAAGCTACAAATGCAGGTCAGAAGGAAACAGCAGTGTGGGCGTGTGGGGAAAAAAAAAGAAATTGCATCCACTCACAATAGATAAGATAATAATTATTAATCTCTTTGCAGCACAGTAAAGTCAGGCTTTATGCTGGAAGGATATTTGGGGATTCTGTACTTGCACACAGAGCTGTGTGAGTTGCTGTGCATGCAGCTTTAGAAGAAACCAGAGACCCTGCTATTCTTCTAGTAGATTTCTGTTGCCAAATACTGACGTGTGGATGGACATGGATAAAAACTAGTGAATGTCTGAAAACAATTAATTTCGAGTTTCACCAGATATCTCTTGACTGCTTCTGAGCTTTGCAGGCTTTAGTTGTGCTGATGTATACCATGATGGGATTGTCTGGGCAAGAAAAGCTCCTTTGTGCTCTAGGGAACCTTTAACCTCCCGTAGCAAATAAAAGCTGGCATCTCCCCATAAGTTCCTGTTTTCCCAGTCAGTCACGTCTCTGTGGAGCCAGGCAAGTGTTGAGAAAAGATGCAGTGTTTTCCAGAAAAGAAAATATTATGTCTTTTGCTTAAATTGCCATTGGGGCACGCTCTTGAAATCCACCATCCTGGCAAAGAAACATCCGTTCACTGTATTTCTTGTTTCAGTCTCTGATTTAAAGTTTTGTGGATATTCACTTATGCCTCTCTCTTAAATAGATGCTACCAATTAAGTCTTCCCATTCCCTTTTTCACTTAGTTGTGCAACTTCTTTCTATCCTAAGCAGCAATCAAAAACAAAGCTCAAAAACTTCTGGGCCAAAAATATATTAAATCTTAGCTGAATCTTTTGTCAACTGAGCCTCAGTTGGTTTTGTGTGACCATTCAGCCTGGATTGCTAAACGGGGCTGGCACAAGGCAGGAGTCCCTGCCTGCTAATCTTAGCAGTTGGGTGGTCTTGAGGACCCGATTTAGGCACTTTTTAAAGTATTTTTTTGTTAAAGTTCATGTATGCTGGTCTCAATTGTACAGGGCTGAGTAATATCCAAAAATATTGTACGTGTTTATCTCTACGCTTTCTGCAAGACCTTGGGAGAGTGAGCTGGTGCAAGCTCAGCATCCCAACACTGTAGCTGTAGCATGCTGTAGTAAATTAAGACCACTTTCTGAACACACCTCACTTCTCATCAGCTCCAAAGCCAAAGAAAATGCATTGATTTACACCAGCTAAAGAGCTGACCCTTAAAGCTAAGTTATTGAAAATCTCTGTTCAACATTGTGAGTGCTCAAGAATTACAGTAAAAGGGTCAGAAGTACCTAGACAGATGAACAGGAAATTAGCCATAATTAGATACTGCAGGTTGTTACTGTGCTAATTTATCTGAAGAAACAGTGTCTATCAGCATAGGTATGATTTGATTCACTAGTTGTTCCTAACGTGGGGCTAGTGGAAACTTGAGCTATTCCCAAAAGAGGCTGTCTAATCTAAAAGAAAGATGCGTGCGTGAATTAGCCATTTGAGATTCTGACTGGGAAATTCCCATGCTCCTTGCAGCATACAGTATTTTGAGGTAAGGCTTGGCCAACGGCGGAGACGGCTGTCCGCCTTGGCGGCTGGTGGCTGAGCAGACAGGACACTGTTCGAGCTGTCCTCTGTAATGCAAAGGGATGGCTCTTCTTAATAAAATGCTGCTGCAGAGCCTCATCGGTGAGATGATAATGGCTGCAATCACATAGCTATTGAAAAGGTTTAAGGTTTTTTTCTCCCCCCAGCAGCAAGATGAGGCTATATAAATTTATCAGACTTGCAGTCATCTTTGCCCAGCCATACTTCAGGGTTCCATAGCTCTTTTGGTTTACTCACAAAGGGACCAAGTTACAATATCGAGAAATGCGTCGAGCCAAAGTTCTCAATGTGTCCAAGTCATTTGCGTGGGAAAGGCAGCGCTGCGGCAGCGGGAACCGTCCGGTGTTGCTCATCAGCCGTGCCGAGAGTGGCAGCTCGGCTGGAGAAGGACCATCGAAGCCCTGTAGTGGAGGTCAGGCATGTTATGCTTGAAGCTGCAGCAGTGGCCCGGTTTAGTCACTTTTGATGCCACTGCGTATTGAGCCTTTCAGCGGACTTCGGTCGGGTTCCTCCATGTTTGCAGTGATGTCAAGCGGAGCAGCTGGGAGCTGCATCGTCCCCATGTCGAGAGGATCTGCCGCAGTCTGGGCAGCACGTGGCGATGCCTCCTGGCGCCAGGGGAGACAGGTCTGGCCACCGCCTGCCCACCCGCCGCCTGCGCGGGGCGCGGGGTGCTGCCTCCCACGTCAGCGGGGTGAAAAACCTGCTGCGCGTCAGCAGAACTAGGGAACTGCCCGAGAGACGGACCTGATTTAAGCATGCAGCAAGCTCTGCATCCCAACACCAAGAAACGTTTAGCATAGCTCCTGTTGACTTGCCTCATTTATTTATTAATTTATTTACCAGGGCAAAGCTGCCTCTGGGTCTCAAAAGGCTAACTTTGCCTTTGCCCAGTGGTTGAAAAAGTTTAAATGGTACAAGCCAATTTTACTGCAGTCAATATGACATATATAAATTACCTCCAGATGCATTCGCCCTCGGTACAGTTGCCATGACAGTACATTGTAGTAAAACCCAACCAAATAAATAAGCAGACTCTCCGCCCACAGCAACTGCTGCAAATCTGCAACTCAAAAATTAAATGTTGCTTTTTAGGGGGAAATAGCAGAGAGTGCTGCTGACATAAAAAATGTCATTTGATTTTTCCATAAACTGCATATTGCAATATCATCAAAGTATGCCTAAAAGAACTGAAGTGCATCACTTTTGATGATGATATTAAAAAGGAAAGAGTAAGGAGGCTATGAACTGGTATCTGGTAATAGAGAATGTATCATTTGTCTTTTTCACATATTTCACTTAAAATGAATGAAGTGGGAGGAAAGTAGAGTTTTCTGTTCCTATTTATCAGTTCTCACAGCCAAAGGGTTTTTAGGACCATATTAATTGACAGTTGAGTTAGTAAAATTATAGAATGATAATTGGACGGACTTTGAGATGGGCAATGAGAACTGTTAAACAGCAGAGAAGACCTCTAGGTGAAGAGAACAATGAGAGGGTTAATGCTGCAGCCAAAAAAAGGAAAGTAATTTGCACTGGCAAGGATCAGTGGTTCAGCTTTGGAGATGGTGAGTGGTAGTACAGAAGATCTGCTGTGCATTCAGCAAGGAAAGGATCCCTTTCCCATGTGTCTGGTGGCAGTGTTTTTATAAAATGGTTAATTATCTGGTTATTGAGGGCAAGAATTTGATGGGGTTCAGAAAAGCATTGAGTGATCTAATTTTATAAAATATAAGTTTATTCACTTTACTAGTAACAGGTGAATTTTTAACTGTTCAGGAGTCAGGTAACCATTCAGTTGTTTGAACGGCATTTTAGCTCTTTGTGCCTGAAATTTTTAGTCTGGAAATGTCGTTAGAAAAAGTAGTTTGAGGGTTTTTTTCTGTAAGACCTCTATATATACCAGCAGGACTGAATGCAGAGCAGAAAAATGCATCTTACCTGAAATCCCAGAATGTCAAAATACGAATCTGTTCCCATCTGTTTTCTAAAATGGGCAATGCTGTGATTTTCCTGACTGCCTCTGGGAAAGCCGATATCTGAAAAGAAAGATCCCTCTAAATCTGGCATGACTTGATCACCAGTGGGTTTGCTGCCTGGTAGCCAAGTTGTCAGACCACCGTCCCAGCGCTGGGGGATCCTCAGCACTGTGGGTTATTTGTTCATTCAGGCGCCGTCGGGCTTCAGAGCGCGTGGTGCTGGGTGCCAGCTGTGAGGGATGCTCTCCCAAAGGCTCGGCCAAGGCGTGGTCCTACCTGCGCCCAGGAGGGCTGCGTTTCTTTCCTGCAGGCCGTGTTGCTCAGAGCCCGCTCCTGTGGGGCCTTGCCATTGCCCAGGAGAGTGGGGTGTCAGAGGCGGTGATCCTCAAAGGGACTTGGTGGTGTCCTCTGACCTGAGCTCTGGAGCAGGCAGCGCCAGCTCCCCGAACGTGTCCATCAGCAGACAGCCGGCCGTTCTCGAGGGGGTGTGAGCCCCTGGCTGGACTGGCCGCCAGCCGCTGCATCTGGTCAAGGATCGTGTATCTTGGTAGAGCTCCGTCAGTGTTTCATGAAAGCGATGTGGTAGGGGAACACCTGCACCACGGACAGGACTGCGGAGAGCTCTCTTTGGAAGGAGGCAGAGAGGGAGTTGACCACCCGTGCTGCTCTGGAAGCGCCCCGCTCCCTTGGTGCCTTGGCAATGCTGCGAGGTTATGCGCAGCGTTGAGAAATGCCAGAGCACAGATCG